TCAAAGACTTGCAAAAATAATAATGTTTAAATTCAAAAATATTCCAATTCTTTCTTTTTTAACTGCAGGGAAATAAGGCAAAGATATTGCAAATTCAGCTAAAGCTTCCAGATTCCTCCACTTGTCTTCTGCTTTGGAAGGGTGGTGGCTGTGAATAAATGTAAATTAAAAACCCACTGCACAGATTAGTCACAGTGATAAAGATTGATAAATACAAAACCCTTTCACATATGGACATGCATATTTCAAATACAGATAAATTAATCACACCTGAACAAAATGTTTTGTTCCTAGGTCATGGACTCACTTTAAAACGACCCCTACAATCAATTAAAGGCCACCCAAAAAACCCCAAATCCCACAGTGGTGTTTTCTACTGTGCAAGGGACCTCTCCACTGTCCAAGGGACCTCTGTGCTCCCTCCCCATGGACCACAAATTGCAGCTGATACACAAAATCCTCCAGCTGGGGACACACGTGGGATTTCTGTGGGCCAGGAGATGTCTTGGCACTAACGTGGCCTTGAAGAACCCCAAGAGCTTTGGCTCTGGTGCCTCTGAGAGCCTGTCTGGTCACACCTTCCCACCCTGATCTGCAGCACAACAACATTCCAAGGCTCCACCTGCAGAGTCCCAACAGAGAGAACCAGGGCAGGAGCCCTCAAGTCAACTTTAACCAAGGCATTTATTAGTAACTCTGGGAATCACCTCTCCAGTGCCACTGCGTTCTGGGTCAGAGCCCTGCAACACTCTGCACCACCTACAAACAGGGATGATTTAACCTGCAGTTAAACTGTTTAACCTCCCAGCTCTGCTGCCTGCTGCTGCCAGCCTCACTGCTCAGCTCCAGCCGCCCTTCCTGGGCCACACGGACGTGGAACACAATTCCCTGAGCACCCTGCTTTGGCTCAAACCCTTCACCACCAAGAGCACTAACTCTGCTTCTCCTTTCACCTTGAACTGCCAAGCACTCAAGACAGTCAGCAAGAGGTTGAGTTCTCTTTTCCAAGTTTGCTCCAGGTTTTCCCACGCCTTTCAGAGCACATCCATCGGTTCGCCATGGTGTGGCAGCCAACAACAGTTAGTGAATGAGGCTGCCCGAGCCTGCCAGAGAGCAGCTCTGGAGTTCTGCAGCAGGGCATGAGAAGAATTGGTTGCTTTTTTGCTCTTGGGTTTGGTTTTTCTTCAGAGAAACCCTTAAACGCCTTTTTGTGTGCTCCTGTTCTAAGGCAAAACAAGAACAGCTGAAGAAACTTAACAAAAACCACAAAAAATAGACTCCAGACTAAGCATCTTTACCTGTATTTACTGTTCAAAGTCCTGGCCGTTGCAGAGATATTTGGATTTTTCCTTTGTAAAAGAATATCATACACAGGACAGTTTGGGTTTTGGTACAGGGCACACCACCACTCTAGGGGTCTGCTTCTATTATTGAGCCATTAAACACCAGGAAAAAAATAGGTGCTCAATTAAACCAAACCCACATTTTTTAGAGATTCCTGTATTTCATCCACCATTCCCACCAGAGACACTTCAGCTGACCCCGCTGAGATCACATGCAGAAACCTGGTGAGTTCATCAAGTCCAATGTCATCTTTCCAGGCTTTCAGCAAACAGGAAAAACTTGTTATTTTTCAGCAGAAGTGCAACACGTCATCTTCCACTCCTACCCTGACCCATAAAGCAATCCAGTTTGTAAAGATCTGACAATTTTTGGTGGAAGGTCAGCAGCAGAGCTGGCTGTCAGCTGTGGGATGGCAGCAGCAGCAGCCAGGCTGCACAGGGCAGGTGACAGTGGCACTGCAGTGGCACAGTGCAGGGACTCTGCCCGTCACTGGCAGCCCTGGGCACTGCCCGAGGCCATCAGGGCTGGGCCATGGCCAGAGCCAGATCTGTGCTGCTGAGCTGGTGACAGGAGCAGGGCAGCGCTGGGGCTCAGCCTGTGCCCCCCACCCCCTGCCACCAGCCCAGGGGGGATGCAGGGAGGGATGGGGGCTCGGGATGCAGCAGAAATGGCACCAGCAGCATGTGACAAGGAGCCCATTGCCTCGGCAGCCAGCTCACCTGGATGCTGTAGGAAAGGTCAAATTTTGCCGTGTGAAATAAGAGCATTTATTGGGTAAATCAAGCCAGCGTATTACCAAAAATGAAAGCAGTACTTTGGAGGCTGGGGAAGGAAATCCCTGCTCTGCTTGGTCCACAGGACACAGAACCTGTGGGATAGGACTGAGCAAGGGCAGAGCTCAGCTCCTGGCTGTCCTGTGACATGTCCACATGATGGGAACAGCTGACACAGCCAGGAGGAGTGACAGTGCTTGAGAAACATCGTAATTACCAAAGAACAATAAATATTGATTTTATAAGTGCATATTTGTGTCTAGTTTTATTGTAAACACTGTCAGGCAGTTTTGCCTGGTTACTTTTTTCTTATCTTAAGCCAGCAAACTCTCCAGCAAGCCCAACAAACTGAGATCAAACAGGTCATATCTGAGCAAAGGGATCTGCCTGACAGCAATTTCTGATTTGGGAAGTCTCACCTGCCCTCAGTGATACCCCAAGGACAACATTTTTTGACGCTGCAGATACTGATATGATGAGTGAAGCCAATCAAGTATCTCCTGTAGATTGATGTACTTTTAAAAAAGAAACCCTCAGTACCCACTGCACAATTTCAGCAGAAGACACAAGGAAGTGTAGGAGCTAGAACAGCATTATTTTGAATAATTTCAGTATTGCAGAGAAACCTTGTAACCTTCCACAGGAAAAGAGAAACTTGGCCATAAATTACCCTGCCTGGGCTTGCAGCCTCAGCGTGAAGCACATGTGAGCAGCCTCTAGCTCATCAGGGTCTCGGGGCAATACGGGAGTTAAGGCTGCACTGACACCACTCCTGAATATAAAAAATAATAAGTTAATGCTTTAGAGAAAAAATACCATTTCCCCTGTTTGCCTCAGGCTCTCACAGCACAGCCCCTGTGCTCTGTGCAAAGGATCCCCATCGTTGCTTCATCTCACTAATTAGAGTTTACCTGCTGCAGATTACAACATGGGATTAGTATTAAGCAAGAGCTGTCCTGCTCACCCTCAGCCTGGTCCCGAGAAGTGCTGAGCAGCATTCAGGGGAGATTTAATTCAGCCCTTCCTTGTAGGGAGGCTAAAACTTAATAACTTCTATTCAGAATAATAAATTCACATACATTTTTTAATACCTCCAGGTTTGGGAAGGGTTTTCAGTTTCCCCATAAATCAGACTCCAAAGGAATCCCTGTGTCACCGAGGCAGGTGTCAGATCAGTAAAACCTCGGGAAATGCTTGTGACCCTGCAGGGCGCAGAGAGAGAGCTGCAACAGCAGTGCCATTGTTGGTGTTCAGCAAGGTAAACCCAGAGAGGCACTGTGGGACAAACAGAGCACAGACCTGGGAACCCACTGGTACCAGAACCCCTGTGCAGCTGCCCTGTACGGGTGTACCAGCTGGCACCAGCAGTGACTGTGACCTGCACCGGTACAGGCTGGTCCAGTACTGACTGCAGCTGCACTGGTACTGACTGCACACCTGTGCTGATACCACCTGCACACCTGCACTGGTATCACCCGCACTGGTATCGCCTGCACTGGTACTGCCTGCACACCTGCCCTGGTATCACCTGCACGCCTGCCCTGGTACCGCCTGCCCTGGTACCGCCTGCCCTGGTACCGCCTGTACACCTGCACTGGTATCACCTGCCCTGGTACAGCCTGCCCTGGTACCGCCTGCCCTGGTACCGCCTGCCCACCTGCACTGATATCTCCGCTGCCCCTGTCCTGCTGGCGGAGCTCCCCGCGGTCAGCCGGGCACCAGCGCCCAGGGGAGGCAGGGCAGTGCCAGCACGGGCTCCGTCCCGGCCGAGTCCCAGCTGCAGGGACAGCTGCTCGGGCGCGTTGGCTCCGAATGAGGAGCACTCCCCCGGCTCAGGGGGGCCCTGCGCTGGGCTCGGGGACACGCTCACCCTGCCCGCCCGGTCAGCCCGGCCCCAGGGCTGGGCAGGAGCGCGGCCGGGAGCGGGGGAGCAGCTCCGCGCTGCCCGTGGGATGCGCACGGAGCGCCTGTCCCGTCTGTCACCCGCTGTCCCCGCCGCAGCTGGCCGAGCTCCCGGGCGTGCGGCTCAGGCAGCGCACACCCGGCACGGCTGCAGCCCGCTCTCGTCGCACGCCGGACACCGCAGCGCCCGGTAGGACATCACCTGCACTGGTACCGCTTGCACTGGTATCACCTGCACTGGTACCGCCTGCACACCTGCACTGATATTGCCTTCACTGATATCACCTGCACACCTGCACTGGTATCACCTGCACTGGTATCGCCTGCACACCTGCACTGGTATCGCCTTCACTGATATCATCTGCACACCTGCACTGGTATCACCTGCACTGGTACTGCCTGCCCACCTGCACTGGTATCACCTGCACACCTGCCCTGGTACCGCCTGCCCTGGTACTGCCTGTACACCTGCACTGGTATCACCTGCACTGGTATCACCTGCACTGGTACTGCCTGCACACCTGCACTGGTATCGCCTGTACTGGTACTGCCTGCACACCTGCACTGATATCACCTGCCCTGGTACCGCCTGCCCTGGTACCGCCTGCCCACCCGCCCTGGTACCTCCGCTGCCCCTGTCCTGCTGGCGGAGCTCCCCGCGGTCAGCCGGGCACCAGCGCCCAGGGGAGGCAGGGCAGTGCCAGCACGGGCTCCGTCCCGGCCGAGTCCCAGCTGCAGGGACAGCTGCTCGGGCGCGTTGGCTCCGAATGAGGAGCACTCCTCCGGCTCAGGGGGGCCCTGCGCTGGGCTCGGGGACACGCTCACCCTGCCCGCCCGGTCAGCCCGGCCCCAGGGCTGGGCAGGAGCGCGGCCGGGAGCGGGGGAGCAGCTCCGCGCTGCCCGTGGGATGCGCACGGAGCGCCTGTCCCGTCTGTCACCCGCTGTCCCCGCCGCAGCTGGCCGAGCTCCCGGGCGTGCGGCTCAGGCAGCGCACACCCGGCACGGCTGCAGCCCGCTCTCGTCGCACGCCGGACACCGCAGCGCCCGGTAGGACTCCCGGAATCGGTTCGCCAGCATCGAGAACTTGCTTCCGTGGCACAGCGAGCAGGGAGCGCAGCCCGAGCCTTTGCACTGCGAACAGCCGTGCTCAGCATTGCCCTCCTGAAGCAGACAGCAGAGAAAATTTGTTAGTGGGTGTGAGATATCGAAGTCAGGAACATTCTGGAGAGAGGGAAAGTCTCTGTCCCAGTCTTTGCCATCACGGTTGCTCCTGACACACCACTCTGCCCATGACAATCAGTTCTCCACAGCAAGGACTTGGACAAAAAGTCTCCAAAATGCTTGGGGACAATTTGTGGCTACTGCTAGAAAATGAGGCGTTAATGTGACTGGGCCTATAACACAATACTCCAAACTCATCTTTCTCCTCTGCACAACTCCACCCATCCTCCTGTCATTTCTTATCACAACATTCCCACTCTGTAGCCCCAGGTTTGAGCCACACTTCATTTCTTCAGGGATTGTTCGTCACCCTCTGTGCCCAAATCCCTTTGTCATTTCTTATCACTCCATTCCCACTCTGTAGCCCCAGGTTTTGAGCCACACTTCATTTCTTCAGGGATTGTTCGTCACCCTCTGTGCCCAAATCCCTCATCACCACCATGCACACTTTCTTTGGAGCTGTCCTTTGTGCCTGCCTCTCTCCCACTGTGCCAGGCAGCATCTTTCAAATCCCACCTTGAAATTCCTGGGAGCAGAAGGACTGCGGTGACCCACGCTCAGTTCCATGAAACTGTATCAGCTCCACGTGGCAACATTAGGTTTTGTGGGATCAAATCATGGTCAGACTAATTGGGATTCTGGCCAACACAGACTCCCCCGTGAGAAAGCAAATGTAAGGCATAACCTTATTTCAGCTGATACTAAAATTTTGGCCTGAAGCAGTCTCAGCCACAGAGCAGCTGTGTTTAGCCTTGTCAGGCTGGAGAAACTCTGGCCTGCTCTTATCCTGCTGGGAGGGGTGACAAGGGATGGAGCCCAGCCAAGCTCTGTAAATGCCAGCCACCTCCAGGGGAAGAATCAGTGGGAGCCATGAGCACCTGGAGCCAGCACCGCTGCCCCCAGAGCAGGATCTCAGCAGTGCTGGTCATTATCTCCTGAGGGAAACGAGAACAGAGTGGTGCTTTTATCCAAACTTAGCCAGCAGCCAGATACAGAGATGGATGGGGCCTGGGAGGTTTGACCAGGGTTAAGGGGAAAAAGCACTTTCCATTTTCTGTTACCTGCACATGCTGGTTGCAAGTGACCTTATTCTCCACATCTCTTTTATGTCCACCACTAAATCGTTCTTTCTTCTCCCGGTACACGAACGTCCAGTCATTTATTCCCTCAGTCTGGATGATTCTTCTCATGAGCTCTTTCTGGTCCATCGGCGCACGGATGATTTTCAGGTTATTGGTGTAGATGATGATCTTGCCAAAATCTACAACTGGGGAAGTCTGAAGAAGGAAGTTGCCAGTGTCTCACCAGTATGAATTCACTCTGCAAGCACTCATGGTCCCTGCCCTTCCAGAAGAGTGTCCCCTCCACCAGGCCAGCTCCCCTGACCACCCCCAGAGCATCCAGCAAATTGGTGGAAGTACAGCCCTTCTGGGTAAATTTGTATTTTTTTCCAGCCCTTTTAAAGCTAAACTTGGTCAGACATTTCCCTGAGGGCAGCACTTTGCTGACCTGTCCCTCCTCCCTGGTGTCATATGGAGTTACTGGGGCCTATTGCTTTACACACTCGTCATATTTCACTCTGTCTGTGTCAAGAAGCCATGCAAAAGGAGACATTCTCCTAAGAAATGCCCTGAGTCACGTCAGCTGCTGTGATGGCTGGTGCTCTCCTGGCAGCAGGGCACCTGCTTCCCTGTGGGAGGAAGACGAGGGGGAGGCAGGTGAGCACAAGTCCTGCCCACCTGCAGAAGGTGAGAGCCTCGTGCGTGTTGCACAGACACGGTGTCTCCAAGCACCAAGTGCAGCACAAGCTGGTACTGGACAGTGTGGTTACTCCAGGTATCTGTGGCTGGGGACACTGGGGAGGGAGAGGAGCCTTACCCAGGAATGCAAAACAAATTAACGGGCTGGATAAGATCACAGCAGTGCACTGTCCTTGGGCAGGAGAGATTCATCGTGGTCTGATGTTTTCAGGCAAACTGCATGTCTGGTGTGTCAACAGGTCAAATATCAGCCAGCTGGGTTTCCCACACACAGCTTTGATGAGCACCAGGAATTAACAGACTTTCAGTGTGCTCAAACCAAGGCCATAAAGTGTATTTACACATATTATGCATGTACTGCCTCTTTATAAGGACTAAAGAGGCACTTCTCTATCAGTGGCATTAATTATATGTTAAGAAAATAGCCAGTGAAACTAAGACTGGGATTGTCAAAGTAGCCAAAGAGGAATTCTGGCTGCCAGAGGATGCAGACACCTGGTACCCTGATGGCAGCACTGGCTTCCTGCCAGCCAAAGTCACACAACTTGAATATTTTAAATATATCTCATTAACTTAACATTCTCCTTACACTTGACTGATCTAGATGCAGCAGGATTCCCATGTACAGATATCAATATGTATGGAAATGTTCTCTTTTACTCTGCCCAATGGATAGATGCAGACCAGGACCAGGAGAAGCCGGAGCACAGCTGGAGCACAGCTGGCAGATGCTGTTCCCTCCTGCAGACCCTGAGGACCCTGCCACGTGTGGCATTTTCAGCACACGAGATTCCTGGAACAATGGCTGGAGATCCACAACCACCCTTCTCAAGCCTGGCCTGACAGAACAGTTTTATGCGGATGAGGCTGCGGTGTGAGGCTCCTGTCACCACGTTCCACGAGCAGGATTTGGCCAGAGCTGTGCCCAAAGGGGACAGCAAAGGGCAGCACTTACCCTGCAGAGCAGGATTTAGCCCGGAGCTGTGCCCAAAGGGGCACGGCCAAGGGTAAGGGCATCACTTACCCTCAGAGCAGGATTTGGCCAGAGCTGTGCCCAAAGGGGCACGGCCAAGGGTAAGGGCATCACTTACCCTGCCGAGCAGGATTTAGACCAGAGCTGTGCCCAAAGGGGACAGCAAAGGGCATCACTTACCCTGCAGAGCAGGATTTAGGCCAGTGCTGTGCCCAAAGGGGACAGCAAAGGGCATCACTTACCCTGCAGAGCAGGATTTGTCCCAGTGCTGTGCCCAGAGGGGTAAGGGCATCACTTCCCCTGCAGAGCCGGGTTTAGCCCGGAGCTGTGCCCAGAGGGGTAAGGGCATCACTTTCCCTGCAGAGCAGGATTTGTCCCGGAGCTGTGCCCAGAGGGGACAGCAAAGGGCAGCACTTACCCTGCAGAGCAGGATTTAGCCCGGAGCTGTGCCCAGAGGCACGGTCAGGGGTAAGGGCATCACTTACCCTGCCGAGGCCGGTGCCCGGCTGGCAGTGGCTGAGCAGGGGTGCGCTCCCCGGGGGCCCGTGCTGCTGCTGCTCCTCTCGCAGGACGCTGATCCTCCGGGCGGTCAGGGCCGTGGGCCAGCAGCAGCTGCTCTCCGGCAGCTCCCCGGGCCCGCAGAGGGGCTCCCCGGGCTCGAAGCTGTGGCGCAGGAAGCGCCGCGAGTGCTCCTTGGCCGGGGGCTCGAGCTCCTGCCCGTCCTCGTAGACCTGCTTCAGCACCCGCCCGCTGTAAGCCGAGCAGATCTTGAACCTCACCTTGCGGGGCCGGGCCTCGTGCCGCTGGCTGGCTTTCTTCTGGGGCTCATCCATCGCTGGGATTGCAAGCTGCAGCTCCTGGAGATCAGCTCCAAGAGCTCTGGGTCCAAAAGAAAACACTTCCAGCTTCCCCTGCCACACGATGTATAATTCAAGGTTTCTAGTAGTTCCTCTCATCTTACAGCAAAACTGACACCGCTGTATTAAATATTGATAGAAATTCACAAAGAGAAAATATCACTGGTAGTGAAGTCAAAAGCAGGTTGGTGAGTGGGGGCCAGGCTGGACACCACAGCAAGAAAGGAGTTAACCAGGAAGGAGAGGATTAAATGGGAAACTCTATTCATGTTTCTGAAACCATGGAAATGCTTCTGCCACGTGCTGTGATAAGAACTACCCCAAATACATCATCCCAGTAGCTTTTCATAATTTTCTGACAAGGTAAAAAGTTAAAAAGACAAATTCAGAGAAAAAGCAATCCAGCCTCACAAATTGCAAATGTGAATAATTCCTCTTCCATTCTCACACTGAAACCCTGAGAGCACGAAGCTCAGTTTCGTTTTAATCTAATGTGTTCCTCTACAGGTTGTGAGATCTAATTAAGATATTCTCTCCTTAGTGCTCAATCCCTATTTGTAATTCTTGAGCATTTTAGGGCCTTTTGGACCGTTCTGGGTTTGGTTTCTATTTTTAGGAGACAGTCACTCATGCAGCCCCAGCTGAGGGGCTTCCTTTCCCCAGCACTGCCAGATCTCCATCTGCAGGCAGCCATCCAACCCAGACACCTCCTGGGACAGCCCATCCTCTGAGATCCCCCAGAGGTCACCCAGAGCTGGGACCTCACTGGGCTGGTCTCTGTCACAGAGGGTTTGATTCCTGCTCCCTTCCCTACCTGGGCATCTCAAGCTCCTCTGACCTTTTGAGGGCTAAAATAAAGAGCACATGTGATACAAAACACATCTACAGGTAACTGCTGTCTGGGCTTTAAACATCTCCCAACACCTACTTGAATCATGTAGGTCCCCAACAGGAGTTAAAAGTATCTTTTTCTTTTTTTTTTTTTGAGTTCCAAGATTTTAGTATATATCCACATCAAGGAGGACTCTGCCTTGGCAGGATGTAGGCAGAGGGCTTCATTTAACTTCTTTCAGCTCAAACCCAGCACTGCTTAATGCTCTCGATAGCTTAATTAATTGTGTCTTTTGAAAGTTTGTTACTAGGATGTTACTAGGAAATCCTAGGATGACACTTTAGAAGCTGCCTGCTGATAACTGCACTGCACAGCCCTTCCACCAAGCAAACAGCCGCCACGAGCAGTTTCTGTCACGACAGACGCTGCTCTGAGGGTCCCTTGGGCTGCGGCAGCCTCATCACGAGGAAATGTAAAAAATGTTTCCTGTACCACGGGAGCAAGCCTGAACAGGCCCGGGCAAGCACCCACACCCAGCACGCCCTTGGCATCCCACGGCAGCGCTGCTGCCAGGCTCCTTCCTGCCCCACAGCAGAACCTCACCTCGCGTGAAAACCCGGATTTGCATGAGCCACGCTCTTCTCTTGCTACATTCCCTTGGGAAGCCGGATCCAGCCCTTCCCCCGTGAACCCTACTGAACCTGGCTCAGAATTGCCGCTTTTCAAAGGGTCCCCAGGGCCATAATCTGACACAAATCGCACGGTGAGACACCTCAATTGGAGTTCATTTTCTTTTGATTGAGGGAACAATCAGACAGGAAAGGCAGTTCAAAGCAGCAATGAAGAACAGAGCAGGAGCACCTCTGCGAGCCGAGCAGAGCCGCTGCACAGCTGCCCACAGGTGCTGCCACAGCTCAGCTCCACACTGCTGCTGGCACAGCCCATGCCAGCCCTGCCTCCTGCCACCCAGCGTCCCGCAGCCACAGCTCCCCGTGTCACCCGGGGCCAGAGCCACACGCTTCTTCATGTCCGTGCGCTGATGGCTCTTGCAAAGAAAAGTTCCCAAAGGGCCGTTCTGCATTTCTCAGCTGTTCTGAGCACCCGGGTCAATGCTCCCGCATTAAATATCCAAACGGGGACTTCGCGGTGCTGTTTGGTGAGGCCATCCCCAGCGCCACGCGGGACCCCCGGAGCCCGCAGCGTGCGGGGCTGGCACGGGCGGTGCGGGATGCGGGAGCCCTGGCACGGGCGGGTGCGGGATGCGGGAGCCCTGGCACGGGCGGTGCGGGATGCGGGAGCCCTGGCACGGGCGGGTGCGGGATGCCGGAGCCCCCGCCGCCCGCAGAGCTCCCGGGGCCAGCGGGGGTTTGTTTCCCACAGCCCGCACGAGCCTTACTAAAAATGTAACAAAAATAATTTAGCATTCAACAGTGAAATCATTAAGTTGCACGACCTAGATCATCACAGCACTATATTTGACTTCAGACTCCGTTCCACTGCATTTTAATGACATCTGTCTTCCAAGCGTGGGGCCCGTCCTCCCCCCGCAGCAGGGGAGGATGGGGCAGCCGCAGGCTCCGCAGAACAAAGCGCGGCCCTTGCCCCGAGCAGCACAACGCTCTGGAGCCTCGCAGCAAAGCCGGGCTCTACAAAGCGGGGCCGAAAGAAGAGCCACGGGGAGCTGGACTTTGAAGGCGTGTTTCCACCTGCAAGTTTTGCTGGAAAACGCTTTGATGTGCTGTGCTTCCTCAGAGCAAGCCCTGCTGCCCTCCTCCCCCTGCACAGGGAGCAGGATGGGGTTTCAGCTGCAGCAGTGCCCTGCTCACATCACCACGAGCACCTGAGAGCCAGGGACCAGGACACCAAGGATGTGTCCCAACACCCCGTGTGACAAAAAGAGCAAGGCCTGGGAGGGCATTCACAGCACAGCCACCACTCCCTCTGGCCTGGCAGCCTGCACCTGGATTTCATCATTCTTGTGCCAGGAGATACTGGCACCTGCAGCTAGAAGAGAACCTCAAAAAGTACAAGTATTCTGCTAACTACTGCTCAGGAGTTTTCTACTATTCAGCAGCACTGAGACAGCCTCAGCTGGCACTCTTTTTTACAAACCTGTCCACATGAGCCAAGACAAAGGTCTGCTTCCAGCTGTCTGCAATTGATACCTGCCAGCAGCTCAGAACATCTGTAATCTTTCATCTGACCTTAAACAACGCATTTTTTAAACGGACAATTTTAAAAGGGTGTAGAAGTTTTAAAATATGAGCTGCCCCAGCCAAACCTGACAGGTCATAGAGTGCTCAGGGCTGGCTGTGCCATGTTCAGGGTTTGATTTGGGATCCCCAGGGTGGGAGGGACCTCAGAGGTACCTAATGCAGCCCCCCCAAATCAGCCTGGTCAGTGTTCCTGCTCCAGCAGAGATGCACTGGATTTGTTGAGTGTCATCAGCAGAAAACAGGCACAAAAGAGCAGCACACAGAGCTGCAGTGGGTGGCACCTGCACAAGCAGCCCTGGCACTGATTGCCCTCACACCACTATTTCCAAATCATGGAAACCATTGCAGGGTTGGCTCAGGTGTAAGCTCTGATGTTCAGATCAGGAGGCACTAGTTTGTCTCCAGGGGAAGCAGCCTGACCCACACCAATCATTTTTGGCGTTCCTGGCCATCATCATCCTCTGCCAGGGACTTACATAGACAGCTTGAAGCACTGGCCAGGTGGGTGGTTCCTGCTGTGAAATACAGGGGCAGGCATAGATCCTGTGAAAAATCCAAGGAGCTGAAGCAGGAGTTTTCTTCCCTCCCAGTCAGAGCACAGCCTGGCTCCCACAGCCAAGGCACTGCACGGCTCCTGCAGAGGGAGGGTGGGTGGATGCAGCCCGGCTCCCCCAGAGCTGTTCTTCCACTCCCTGAGCTCCTGCAGCCATCGCCAATCAGAGGCTGGTCGCTCACTGTCAGCCCTGGGTCAGCAACCCCCACCGCTGTACCCTCCAACATCCCTCCCGTACCCAAATTCCAAAGAGGAATTGTTCCAAAGGGGGCTGAAGCCTGGGGCTGGGGCCGGCAGCGCTGCCCACAGCAGCCACAGCCAGCACGGGCTGAGCCTCCGGTGCAAACACCTAACATCTCCTCGGGAGTCCTGAGCGCCTCATTAGAGCTGAACCGAGGAGTGATGTCATGCTGCATCACCTGCCTCCACGAGGGGCTGACAGCGCTTCCTTTTGTGCGCAGCCTGCTGTTTTCACAAAAACACCAAAGTCACAGGTTATTTAAAACTCTGGATGCTTTAACACTGCACCGAGCTGGATTCACAAGTCGTGAGGGTGCACAGGCACAGAGCCACACGCACACACGCCATGAGCCCACGGCACTCCATTTTCCAGGAATCCAAGCTAAGGAGGTTTCCCTGTGCCGGCAGAAGGCAGGGCCCGCTGCACATTCCTGGAGGCTGAAGTCAGCGGGAGTGGAGGACGCCCAGCACCTCCGGGAGAGCAGGCAGGCTCCGCGATGAAAGCCAGCTTACTCTGCACCTGCCTAAGTAAGCACAAAAATCCTGAAGTCACAAAGAAACAAAGGAGAAAACAGGAAAAGGCGCTTCAAAGAGGGAAATTCCCAGGTGCTGAGTTTTATCTGTGGACACAACTCTGCCTGGGCTTCTCCTGAGAGCAGCAGCACAGCCTGGGACCAGAGCCCAGGAAAACACGTGTGCGGTGGGCAAGGAACAGCCCAGGCACTGGCCAGGGCACAGGGAAACGGTGCTTTGCTGGATAAACCCACCAGGTGATGGAGGTGAGCCCCCGAGAGCCCTGCTCTGCCCTGCAGACGTGGAAACTGCTCTGCCAGCACACGGTGGCTCCAGCACTGGGGCTCCAGCCCCTGTGTGTGCTCAGCAGGCTCAGGAGCAGCCTGCTGCAGCCCCCAGACCTCCTCCCACAGGCAGCTCTGCTCTGCAAGCAGGAGCTGTGGGAGAAGCCAATCCAGCTGAGCCCCCAGAGCTCACAACACACCCAGAGCAAGCAGCTGAAGCAGTCTCTCCCCCACCCAGTAAAGCAGCAGCACACCTGCAGTGCTGGGTCAGTGCTCACCTCTGCAAGCTGCCCCTCGTGCTCTGCACCATCCCCTCCTGGAGCTGGGGGTGCAGAGCT